TCTATCACAGCTTGGAAGTAAATCTAATCAAAGATTTTGGGGTTTTTTTGCCTCTTTAAGCTTCTTGGGGGAAGTAGGAGAGGAAAAAGCAACGTAGCATTATAACAAGTCTTCAAGTCCTCAATCTTGCTTTCAGAAGGAGCACATGGAGGACAGCCACAGTAGTGACAGCCCTCATCCAAACAAGAGGAAACAGCTCAAATACACAGCTATTTTCATGGAAATGCTGACTTGTATCTTGATATGTCAACATCTGCCTCGCTCTCCCAAGTGGATTCTCAAGGTGGACCTCTGAAAAGCAGATATTTACTTGGCAATTCTTCTAAGAGTACTAAACTAACAAGGAAAACAAGTTACATCCACATCCTTGGAGACCCATGCCCTTCATTAATCCATTGGGCACACGCTTTAAAGTTCCCCAAGCTGACCCAGCGTGCTTAAAAAACACCTTCATTAAACCATCTTAAAGGACTCCCATCCCAATTTTGATTTAGCAACAACAAATAAGGCACACAAACAGCAATCAAAGCAGTAACAGGAGAGAACAGCTCCGTTTTATGATGTCCTTTCAAAGGCAGCTTACAATCACACTGTTATTTTTAAAACATGCTTAATCTAAACCAGCCTGATTTCCCTCCGTTTACCAGGCAGAAGCTGTTATCCATAAGATACTTTCCTCTTCTCTTACTTCAGTCTGTAACGGTGATATCTAACAGTTGAGATGCTGCAAAGCCACTGATCCAAGACAGTCAACACCACACTTAGCCATAACATAGAGATGAATGTTTTCTAAGCGTCTGCACACATTAGGTTAGTCTGGAGCTCTAACTGATTAAATTCTCACAAACTGCATCACAGAATGGTTTGGGTTGGAAGGGACCTCAAAGATCATCTAGTTCCAACCCCCTGCCATGGGCAGGGACACCTTCCACTACACCAGGTTGCTCAAAGCCCCATCCAACCTGGCCTTGAACACTTCCAGGGATGGGGCATCTACAACTTCTCTGGGCAACCTGTGCCAGTGCCTCACCACCCTCTGATGGTAACTTTCTCCTCACCCACTGGTTCTTGCTAACCCAAGAACAGCCTGTCTCCTTTCTTCTCATCTCAGCCTGAAGAATTTTAATTTGCTTCTTCCACCTGAAAGGCAGGGGAAATTCATGCATGAAATCTAAGTACAGGAGTGATTCAGCAGTGAGCAGGGAAACTATGTTCTCATCTGATAACAGCTCAAATTCCGTTCTACCTTCTTTGATTCGCCTTAGAATTATACTAAGCTGCTTCTTTCCCTCACATCCACCAAAATACGAAATCTGAGCATGACTCAAACACAGCAGCAGCCTAGATGCTAACGCACAGCAACTTGTAATATCCTGCCAAACATTTATGAAGTCGTTTTCTTCTAATTTCTAAAACTGAAATGTGATAATAGGCAGTATTTAATACTGGATTTGGGTTTCACGGCAATAGTGTTTACTGGAGATAGACCACAAGAAAATAAGGAAATAGGAGTACGTGTTTGAGTACATGCAGAACACACTGTAGAACTAAACATTTAGATGAGCCAAAAGCCACGTTTCCTCCAGGACTCTCTCGCTTGTATTTGTGAAGCCCTTCCTGAGAGTAAACACAATACCCCTCCAGAGAGGTCCCAAGCGTTAACCTTCGTGGTTGGAGCCTGGTGTCCCAGGAAGGATACGGGAAACCATCAGCAAAGACGAGCTGGGGGAAACAGCCACTTACAGAAGTAAAGCATTCCTGTAAAATTTGGCGGTTAGTGGGCTCGTTATAAAAATAACACACAGAGGCCCCCTTGCCCATAAAGGTGCCTCTCACATACCACGACCGTTTTACACAAAGAACGTTAAAAAAAGGCAATTTAGAAGATAGAGCAGTTACTGGCCTCAGAAAAAGCTTCCCCAGCGAAGCACTCGAGTAACTAAACCCATGTTTACTGTTCGGCTGTAGTCTCGCTGCGTTATAGCTTGATGAGATGAAACTACACAGCATAACCTTGCCAGGGTCAGGTCAGAACTTCTTGAAACGCCTCGGTGTCACAAAGCGATGTTTATTGGATTATAAGACACGGGCACACTTACTTCCTATGACCTCATTCATCCTGAGCTTTTGTATTAAAAATCATGACATCAGGCACGGAACAAAAGGTCGGATGTGCAAAAGGCAGAAGGAGAAAGACCAGTAACATTTTGTACCTAACAAAAGTGATGTTTGCTTTATGTACTTAGCTTCCCAAGTGTAATTTTGCACTCCACGAGAACATCTGAAACTTGCTTTTTACCCACAAAAAGGTAAAAGTCTCAGCAGCGCACAAGTAGGTACACTGAACTCACTCACTTTGTCCTGGCTGGAAATCAGAGTGAATATTGCACAGATCCCAAACTCAGCAGCCAGGCTGCATATCCCATCAGCTCAGGTGGCAGATGGACATCCACACCAAAGCCTCTCAACTTCTCTCTGCTAGTGATGAGGCTTCAGACTGGATTAAAGGAAGAAATTTTTTACGATGAGGGTGGTGAAACACTGGCACAGGTTGCCCCCAGAGGTGGTAGATGCTCCATCCCTGGAAACATTCAAGGCCAGGTTGGACATGGCTCTGAGCAACCTGGTCTAGTTGAAGATGTCTTTGACCATGGCAGGCAGGTTAGACTAGATGACCTTTAAAAGGCCCCTTCCAATCCAAACTGTTTTGTGATTCTGTGACCGCTCAATGACAGTTCAGAGCAATATAACAGAGTTTCCAAATAAGCTTTTGGAAATTTGCATACGGTCCTACTCACTCCCACGTTTATTCATTACCTTCATATTTTGATAAATCCTCTCCAAAACCAGGCAATTTTCTCATTTGGCATGAGTCTAGCTTGAATTTATACCTTGAGATGCTGCAGGAAAGGAAGCTGCAGAATCATTTCAGCGTGCACAAACAGTGCACTCCATTAGGTATTGCAAACACAAAGTCTTTCAGCTATTTGTTCTTATAAAATCAGAGAATGATTTGGGTTGGAAGGGACCTCAAAGATCATCCAGTTCCAACCCCCCTGCCATGGGCAGGGACACCTTCCACTACATCAGGTTGCCCAAAGCCTCATCCAACCTGGCCTTGAACACCTCCAGGGATGGGGTGGCCACAACTCCTCTGGGCAACCTGTAAACCTTTTATGTAGAACCTTTTATGCTATGTTGGGAAAGCTGTTGTTTCAAAATGCTTTTGACTGGTTTTCTAAAGCATTCATCCAGGTTTGTGAAACCTGCTCCTTCAATTGAAATGGCTCTTGGCTTTGAGAAAGCCTTACTCAAAGAGTAAGTGATTTGACTCAAGCCACAGAGCCTAAACGTAGGAAGAATTTGAGGACTGTCAGCTCCCAGCCCCAGGTTCCACCTAAGCTGAATTGCTTTCCGGGTATCCATTAAGCTACTTTTAGTGGGCAAAGGACACTGACTTCTAAAAAAGATCAGATTTGGAATCAAATGGGAAAAATCTCTCATTCCAGGGGTATAGAACCAATAGCTTAACCTGTGTAAGACTTGTTTCCTATAAGGATAACAATGTCGTTCAGGGAACACCAAATGGCACTAAGACACAGCAGTACTGGAAATCTTTTCTCGTACAATGGAAGATATTTCAAACTTAAAAGCTGGTCAGGGAGCATTAAACCATGGTCTGTTCAGCAACGGCCTCCCTGAAAACAACTTTTATTTGCTAAATTGAGTCAGAGCTTGTTTTTTCTATTTACACAATGTTAACTTAAGAAATATTCACATGAACTACACACAAGGCCAGCAAAGAAAGACACAACAGCCCCTTTAGTATTTCCAGTCCCTTGAAAAACAAAATACTTTAAAGCTCTGGATTTCCAAGCATTCTGAACTGATCAAAATGTAAATCAGTCAATACATATCAGACTTTTATTCCTTTTGTTGGAGAACAACTTGCTCTCAACACGAACGACAGTATATAACAAGCCTGAAAGGTGTTTATGGATGATTACGCAGCTGTCATACCCAAAACTTTCCAAACAAGGTTTGTGCCCTGATGTGCCAAATCTCAGGCATCGAAGTAGGAGACAAATCCTGCCCCACGGAGAGCAAAACATAAATTTTAAACTATACAACAGAAGAACAAAGGAAGTGGGTGGACGGAAAGGTGAAAATAACAGAAGTTCAGCCAAAAAAAAAAAGTCGTCACAGGTCGTCACTTGCTGCTAATGACAGATCAGAGTAATTTTTATGCGTTAAAGCAAGCGAGGACGAAAATAACAGAAGCTCAGCAAAAAAAAAAAAAAGAAGTCACAGGTTGTCACTTGCTGCTAATGACAGATTGGAGTAATTTTTATGCGTTAAAGCAAGCGAGGATTCAGGAAACAATATGCATTTTAGCAAGATTTTTTTTTTCCCCTTCAAGAGATGGTAACATGGCAGAAGGTGAGAAGGCCTCTGAAGGAAGACAGGCTCACAAATGAGGTCCATGAATTCCACAGGTGTTAACACTTTATATCTGAAAGTCAAGCTTTGTCTCCAGAGCACACACCCTACTATTTAGGAAAAATTATACTCTACATCTTTTTCCTACGCTAACACATTGTGCCATGGCTTGATAACAGACTTCCCACTTTCCTATCTCTTTCAATTTCAAAATGCAGTGCTTATATATACTACAAAGCAGTTTAACTTGGCAAATCACACGTTTATGTCAGCTCAACTATATCAGGAATCCATTTGCCTTTTGATTACTAAATTTTGGTTCTATTTTAAACATATACTCATTTTTTTAAAAAAAAAAAAACTTAGCAGGCTGAAAAGTTAACACACAGAGACGACGACAGCTCCGTAGTACACAAGTGATGTAACGCACAGTGCATGCTCGTGGGGGGTGCTCCCCAAAATTCTTTTGGAGAAGTGGCTGTAGGGACAGCCCACCAGTGGTGCCACCTCTCCTATTCCATCCAACCACGCTGTTGACCCCCACCTCGTCTGCTCCGTACCGTTTGCAACCAGAGCAAGAAGCACAGGCTGGGCTCGAGCTGCAGGTGTGGTGATCAGCACAGGTCGGAGAGCCAAGATCTCCTCCTCCACAGAGTAAGTTAACATCAGCCTTTGCTGACCAGTACGGATTGCCTACGGACAAGGATAGGCAGGCTTTCATCGGAATGAAAGGGTGACTTGTTACAGCTAATCCAGTCTCATTTCAACCTATTTTGTCTTGGCATGGGCGATAGGAAAGGAAAAAAAGAAAGCCTTCCAACAAGTTTGCAAAAAACATACGTAAATTCCCCAATTCTAAACGATCTGGCTAGGTATCAGCCCATTGCTACCCCAGGAGGCTTTCAGGAATGAAACCTCTCCTAAAAGCTTTTGGCTCTACGCAGCTGGAGAAGGTACTTTGTGGTTTTTCAGGTGCAGTCCCTTCCTCTTAACATTAAAATAAATGCTTGGCACTTCACGAGATGAGGACTCGGCTCTGGCTTCAACCTGTGCTCTTTCAAGAACACTTTTCCCTGTGCAGTTAAGTTGGCCACAAATTCAGACAGTGCATTCTTTCTGAACCGTGCGTTTTATGATCTCAGTTTAGGGGCCTCATAAAAGATGCAGTGTGCAAGTCACAGTATCCTACGCTCCAAAGGTCATAACCACTGCATCTACACCCATAGTCACAGAACTCTTAAAGACACTGCTGCTCCGTAGTGTTTATTGCCAAAACAAATTTCTAGCCCTAACATTTCTGCCATTCCACTTCCCATGGAAAAGTTTTAAAGTTTCTCTTAGAAAGTTGATTTTCTCACATGTTAGATAGTCCAACAGAGCCAGGAGCTGGACATCTTGCCTCATTTCACATTTAAGAGCTGAATCTCAGTTCAGTTTCTTACATACAGCACTAGTCCATATGCATTCAACTATTATTCCATGCAGCTACTAGAAAGATACCAGTTTGGCTGCAACTCATTTATGTCAAGAAGTATTTTGCTTTTCTCCTGCGCTGCTGTGAATGTTACTTACTTCGTGCATTAGACAAGCAACTGAACGGAAAAGCCCCATTCCCACGAGAGTAGCACTGGCTGATCAACATCTCCAGCAGGTTCCATAAAGCACGTGAATGTTGCCTGCCACCATGCGGACACACGAAAGGAGAGCCAGACCCAAGTTACTTGCTTGGATCTGCACTGCATTGACGTGAAAACAAACATCCTTGGGGGGAGCTGACAAAAGATGGTTTGAGTGATTTTTTTTTTTTTCGTGTCAAACAGCAAAGTTCATCTGTTGCTAATGACTGTCAGATGAAAGCAGAAGCATTCTTTGGCCAAGGCTGAGCAAATCATGCCAACGTGAATAGGAGTACCAGTCTAACATCAATAGTTGTCTGACAAAACAAATCAAGGCTGGATCAGAAGAGAAGCCTTGCCTTGTGAGGCGATCATCAGTATGCATTCAGCTTGAACAGAAAAAAACCCACCTTAACTCATGCAGTACAGCAAACCAAACAGATTTAACAAAACCTGGAAGCGATGCCTGGGAAGGTACACTCTGACTGCCACCAACTGCAAAGCCTCCCTGCCAAACAGCAGTGAGGAACTAGGGTAAGACCAGGTATATCCACTCCTTAGCTTGGCTCTAGGAAATCAAAGAGTTGTAGAACAGTCCAAATTAATTGATAACTGGTTTTGCAAGTCTCCTTTCGAGAGCCAGAAATTTAGACAAGGACAGAACACCACCACTTCTGAGGCCACGTCCACTAACGCCAGATGGAGGTACTGACCAAGGTCACAGCAGCAACAAGACTAAAAAGGGGTTTTGTAGTGATCGTAGTTCTGGCCTGTGAAGATCAAGAGACAAATTAACTTCCACCCCCTTCAGTGGCTGACTGAAATACCAAATCATTTGCAACTCTGAGTATCAAATGATAAGTTGATTGTCTCGTGCGAGAAAACAGCTGCAGTAAATCCCTCTCTGACCAGGACCAGAAGAAACTAGCTCTACAGCTAGAACACAATTATTTCCTCTCCAAGCAACCCTGCAACTGGACAAGGAATAGTGCCTGTCAAGTATCATGCAGGAGACAACCTCTTGAATACCTAAAGGAATTGGAAGTTTCATGAACGAGGTGGTCATGTTCTCTTCAGTGGCTACACATCATATACATATACACACATGGGTTAGAAATAATGACCAACACAGGAAAGAAACCAGGTAATATCATCTTGTCTACAACTTCGGGCCAGGTATTCTCCAGCAGTGACTCTGTGCGTGCTCACTAAGGACTCACTTAGAAGGATGGTCACTAAAATAAGATCATCTCTTCATATGTAACGAAGAACCTACAGTGAAGTCAGGCCCAAGCAATCAAGGCTCTGGGAACAAAGGAAAGAGAAGGCAAAGCAGCAATAAAGCTTCTTTCTTTGTACAGAAATGCTCTGGAACGACAATGTGTGGGGTTTTTTTTTAATATTATTAGACAAGTCACTAATTTCCCTTTGAAAAAAAAAAACCCACACATTTGTATGTGCGTTAGAGTCAAAGAGCTGAAATCTTAACTGCAAATTTATGGTCTTACCTAATATCATCCAACAGAAAAAGCTACTCTGTGAACTTCGTGAGGGATTCAATTTTACAAACAGAAAATATGAGGATTGAAACAATTTGTGCTCACGTACAGATGGAAGTTATTATGAACTCTTGGAATTAACACACATTGTTTTGACTTCGGAATGTAACAGCAAAGCAAGTTTCTCCAAATAAATGCTCTACCAAGCTAGCACTGAGCTGCTTCTAATTCCAGCTGAATTCTCCTGAGTGCAAGATGTGGTTTTCATTGTTATTATCCTGCTGTTTTACAAAACAGTACCACTTTATCTCTAGAAGAGTTTTGATTTCAGTAATTTTACTTAATATCAACCCAGTCTCACTCTTCCCCACTCACGTTTCTCCTTGCCACCAGAACTCCAGGCAATTGTGAAAAGAAAAAAAAAAAAAAAAAAATCTGTGAAACCAGGGAAGCTTATACAAATCCTTTCAAGTATTTCTTTAAGTTGATACAAGTATTTCTGGGCTCTTTGTTTCTCACCCACAGCCATCAAGACTTGCATGAATGATTCAAGTGATGGAGACCGAAGCTCTTCTCTTAACGCTCCAGTAGAGTCAGCAAAGTTCCTCCCAGGCACCTCCAGTCTTCCCACAGCACCCACAGGGAATTAAGCAAGTGATCCACGTTTACTCATGACAGAATAATTTGCAGGACTGAGTCTCTGAATTAAGGCCAACACCTTTGAGCCTTAAAAGGATTCCCTCCCAGGTTGTGATGGTGTAGAGATAAGAAAGAGGCAGCTGCTCATTCTCCACCCAAACTTAATTATTTTCACACAGTCACATGAAGTAAGAATATCTGGAAGCTTCTCTCGGAGCAGCCTTAAGATCTTCTAAAAGCTACTTAAATCTGACAGTTCCAGCCTCTGAAAAGGTACACACAAAGTATTCAAAGAATCTCAGGGTTTTGGATCCAGTCAGGCCCCGAGTACAGTTTTGTGATGTATTTCTGCACGTTATCTACCTGTTCTGCTTCCACAACGGAGTTTCCCCTTGGCAGAACTAAAAAAAGCTGCAATATTTGACCGAGGATATCAAAACAACGGTGACTACAAGAGTTTATATAGACTTCAGTAACACTTTCCTGATTAAGTTAGTAGAAGCCCCCCCAAAAAATTTCAATTTACTTTTATTATGTTTTTATATTCAACAGCATACAATCTCAAGCATTAACATGTGAACCACTGGTGTGGTACAAACCACTTCAAAGTTTGGCCACCGACTACTTCAGCTTGTACCAGCACCAGTGACCCCATGTAAATTTGGAAACTTTTTAATACAAATATATACTTAAAGTCTTCATTTACTTTTATGAGTTTAAAAACATGCCAGTGATTTCAGAAACCAAGTGTGAGGACTTGGAAGGTAACACGGGGGAGCGACCGTGTGCTCAAGTGTTCATAGTCCTTTAGAAACGGGGCGAGAACAAAATGGGAAGGAGATATTTGAGTAGGTCCAACAGTGGTAACAATTCAGAGATGACAAGTCAAAGGGAAAAACAGGAAAACAAGTCAAGTGGTGATAGTTGTATGACAAAAAAACATACTACAGACAAGCACCAGCTAACCCAGACTACAAGAACTGGGAAGACCACCAGTTTGGGCTCAATGAAGAGTTCATAATCTCAGTCAAGAGAAGCACGGGGCGCTTCGATCACGTAACTGAATGACAAACTCCAGAATAGGAAGAAAACCACGAAAGGCTGAGAAGCAAAGGAAGGAGCATCACGACTCACAAGTTACAGAATGAACTAATGTATTTACATAAGCAGAGATTAAGGAAAGGATTGATTTGATACTAATGGAGAAAGAAAGCTATCAAAGCCTTTGAAGGAAAGAGTATTTAATCCCTTTTTCTCACTAGTCTTCCTTATGGAAGTCAAGTGTGAACAGCTGGCTGCCATTATTAATACCAGCAACAAAGAGTCACAGTCTAAGTTACATTAACAACTTGGTTAAGTGAATTTCCAAGATTAGCAGGACTTGATTAACTTCATCTTAAGATATTTTAGCCTTTAAGTAATTTCAGAGCCATTGGAGGTTATCTTCCAAAATACACTACGCACGGGCAAGATACCAGAAGTCTGGAAAATGGTAAATGCAATCCCAGATTAAAAAAAAAAAAAACAAAAAACAAACAACGCAAAAAGACCCAGAAGCTTTACTTCAATTCAGGGTAGGGAATGGGGAAAAAAGTGGTGGAAGAGAGAACTGAAAAAACAAACCAAACAACTACAAACTGAACATAAAAAGATCAGATTTTTCAAGAATAAAGCTTTCAGACGAATCTAATTTCAAGCCTTACAAACAGGTTAGAAACTGAAATGTCCTATTTCTGTTGGAATTTAAATAAATCTTTTGGCACTTTATGGTGCAATACGCTTGCAAGCATGCTGGGGAAATGGGATATTGATGAAGTATGGATGAATACAGAGCAAGTAAGTGCTCCTTGGGTGCAGTTCAACAATGGTTCACCGCTGTAAATGGAAGTGCTAGTGAAGCAGGGCTCCACCTGGGTCTAGGCTTTACCCCAGTTCGATTCAATATTTTAATTAGGTGAGCTGGATAGAGAATAGGCTCAGATGCAGAGAGCACAAAGCTGAGATTGAGTTCTCAACCTACCTTTCCTCATCTTCTAGAGTGAAATCACCAAATCAGAAACATGATTGAGAAAAAAAACGTGCATCTTTAAGGATACATTCGAGGTACAGCACGTAAAACACGAATTAAATGAGTCGCCTGCACAAATTCAGAATGGACTATTCTGTAGATGTGCAGAGGAGACTTGGGATTCCTGGTTGCACCAAATCATGAAATTCAATGTTTTAGGCATTTCTCCCATCCTACTCAGTGTTCTGAAGGCACCAGTTGCACACTGTATCCAGCCTTGAGCACTGCACTTCAAGAAAGATGTGGATTCACATGGAGAACAGGAGACAATAAGCATGCTTGGAAATTAAGAGACATGACCCATGAGATAACAGTTGAAAAAGCTGTGTTTCCATGCATAAAAGTTTGCAAAGAGGTAGAGAATTAAACGAACAGATTACTGTAAGTGATTATGTAGATAAGAAGAAGTAAGACAGATTTCAATTAGATGACAGAAAAGACGTTAATGGCCAAGCACTGGAAGAGACTACTTAGATCACAGGCTTTCTTTCATGGAAAGTTACACGAACATCTACCAGGGAAGGCATGAATGCAACTGACTCTGCCCTAGGAACAGGCAACAATCTAAATCATAGAATGGTTTGGGTTGGAAGGGACCTCAAAGATCATCTAGTTCCAACCCCCTGCCATGGGCAGGGAAACCCTCCACTACACCAGGTTGCTCAAAGCCTCATCTAACCAGGCCTTGGACACTTCCAGGGATGGGGCAGCCACAACTTCTCTGGGCAACCTGTGCCAGTGCCTCACCACCCTCAGAGTGAAAAATTTCTTCCTTCTCTCTAATCTAAATCTCCCCTCTTTCAGTTTAAATCCATTTCCCCTTGTCCTGTCACTCCATGCCCTTGTGAAAAGTCCCTCTCCAGCTTTCCTGTAGGCCCCCTTTGAGCACTGGAAGGCTGCAGGAGCAGCAGGTATTAGTACCATCTCAAATAAAAGTCTGTAAAGTTGTAAAAGTTAAAACACTTTCTCATGCATTTGCCAAAGTAAAGGATGACATTTAAAATATACAAAAGCAAGGAAGTAAGTAAGATTAGAGGACTTTTTTTTTATTTATATATAAACTCATGCATTGGCAAGACTTGAGATTCTCCAGCTTGTTGCGTTTTCTTATAAGGGGAGAACACTGAAGTAAAAATACAGCAAAATTAAAGACACAGCAATGAGAACAACACGTTTGAATCTTCAAGTATGACAGAACAAAAATAACAGAAAACATTTACAATTTTCAAAACAGTGTGTACAGACTCACAGTACTGATTTGAAAAGGAAAAGATTCATTATTAGCTGGCGAGCCCTCCTCCAAGCACCCCAAGAGAAAGTCTGGAGCACAAAGCAGTAAGGTAAGTGAAGACAAGGATTTGAAGGATGCCTCCACTAGTTCACAGGTGTTCCCCACGCAGATCAGCATCACAAGACAGCAGAGGCACACTCATCCCATATTGACACCAAGCAGATTGTAGATGTTCATTAAAAATCTCAATGTACCAACCTGTGCTATATTTTTGTTGAGAAGATAAACTCCATATTCAAACTGAAGCTTCTCCCCTCCTTTTGGATATAAAGGAAATCTGATGGGAAAGAAAAAAAAAAAGAAAAAAGCGTTTAAGGTGAAATTATTCAGATGCTTAAGCAAACTTTAGAAAGCCACAGCCTCCTTTCCTGAAAAAGTAAAGGTTTAAAAAGCCTCCCTTGCAGAGAGGATGTACTCAGGAATCCTCTGCAACTTCAGTCAACTGGCCTTTAAAAAACTGATGTCAAAATTCAGCTAATGAATTACATTTTCTAAAGTATTTTAGGTTTTTAAAAGGTGCTTTAGGACTCTCTCAGTGCTGCAACATTCCTCTCACCAAACGAAGCACGTTTTAAGAAGCATACAGCACAATACCAGATCCCAGGTGATCCCTTTGTATTCAGCCATTCCCATTTGTTAGCTCATTTCCAAATAGAAACAATCTTTTAAGAAAGGGGTTCTCTTTTGATTGTTATTTTGTGATTGAAAGAGCAGCAATTTCATAGTGATTTTCATATTTTTAAACACCTAGATGTAGCAAATAGCCTGTAAGTAGCACTGTTTATTTCTGTCTTAACTGCTCCACGAGATCAGAGAGCCAAAACTTTAGTCCCTAAAGTACTGAAACTGTTTGGCAGTTTGCATTAAAGAATATAATTTTATGCATACGTTCTAAGAATCCTTGCTTAAGTGAAGCAGTTCTCAAAGTTTTAATATTTATACACTGCATTTCTTAGGAGTGTCTTTTGAGTCCTCCTTACCGCCAGAGGCTACAAGGTCATCATGGCCAATGATTTAATCTTAGTAAAAATCTAAAATTTAGGTTTATGGGAACTCTCCACCGTGCAACGAGCTTTTGCCTTTGCAAGAACCGTATGTCCTGCAGCTCCTAACCAAGACATTGAGCATATTATCTGCACAAACCCCACATGACATCAGAAACCAAAGTCCCTCTCAAATATAAGATAACAAATATAGGAGATCACTATCTACTAGAAACAACACAGGCTCGAGGGGGGCGATTACGCAAAGTGTATTTTATCATCAATCAGCCCCACAGTAGAGTACATTTGCAAATTTTAAGGGGAATTATATAGCCCCATTAAAGCTCAAGGTTAACAGGTCATGATCACAGCAGATCAAATATTAAGACGTCAGCTTCAAGTTTTATGCTACTTCCATACTCACTAGGTCACTTCAAGTTGAGGAATATAAAAATCACCGTGAATAGTATATATCTAGCTCACCTTGCTTAATAGATCTATAAATCCAACTAGTTCCCCAAGCAAGGAAATAAAACCTTTCAAAATGAACACATGCTGTAAAAATTCCACGACGTATTATCCTAAGTGTAAAATACAAATCAAAAGGAATTCATTTCCATAGCTAAGATTACGCTACCCAAATAGAGCAAGATTTAGATTTAAAGGATACCTTTACAATTAACAGCATAAAACCAACTCAAGCTTGACAATAAAAGCCCCATTAGGAACACAAGCCATGTTTCACTAGGAGATAGTATTTCATTGGGTCACTAGAAGCAGGAATTATGCATTCTGTCATTAGACAGAGCTCTTCAATACAGGCAGTATAGAAAAGTGGATAAAACTGTTGCACAGTGCTCGCTACCATCTCCCACATGCAGTTTCTTTGAAGTGGCAAAGATTAAGCTTTTCTGTTTATCAAGGTTGGGCCTGCTTCTTTGCTAATATTCACATTTCTGTCCTCTAACTTCCACTAATCAATCTTGACAGTCCCTAAACTCCATACATCGTCGTGTCAGCTTTCGTAACACAATCATTTACATGAAAGTCTTGAAAAATGCCTTTGTGTATGCACATTTATGACTCAGAGAAAAATATTACCAACTTTTAGGTCTCCTCCTTTGTGTGTTATCTTGCTTGCCCATTATGCCTGCTCGCAAGCAATAAACCTAAGGGAGAGGAGCCACGACATTTTAAGTAGTGCTTCATTGAGCATAATTGAATGCAACTTTAACTGCTGGCTCCCTATGTGAAGTTCTTGCCTGCTCCTTAGAAAAGCACGACTGTAAGCTAAATCTCTCCCTTTGGCACGCTGCAAAAAGTTAAGTCTGCTGTGTAAGGTTTTAGTTATACTTGCTCAAAAAATACATTTGAAAATTACTGGTTTAGTGTTTTTATAATCATGAAGCACTCAATAAAATGCAAAACGGCATCTGCCTGCCCATTCTACTCCAGCGTGTACCTTCCTTGCTTCCATTCTTGCTGACGTGTTTGGGGGGAAAAAATAATCCTTAAGCTCTTTCTGTAAAGCAGAACACAGATACTTACTTTAAGATGACAAATTCGAAGAAATGAGTGTGATACGTTCAGTGGAAAGAAGAAAAAAGAAAAAGTTACAGGTGTCTTGTGTAATCACCAGAAGAGATCATCTGAGAGAAGTTACCAAGTAGTAGGAAACTTGTTCTGAGTATTGAACTCAGAAATTGAGTTCTGGTCTTCCTCAGAGTAGTACACTTACACACAGTAAGGAATTCATACACTTACCATGCCAGCAGGTGGTAATTATGAACAAAACAGCTTCTGCTCTGTGAGGTTCGAAGTGTGCCCTTGTAAAAATATGTTGCTATTTCTCTTATGACTATGGAATATTACTTTTTGATAATGTGTAGACTTCTTAAAACACAGCCCTAATATACCCTGAGCTTACCATAGATACTCTATTATATAAAGAGCACACTGCTCAGCTGGCATACAGCAGTAATAATTTTAACAGTGGCTCTCAAAGAAGATATTTAGTTCAGGGAACATTAACTTGATGCAGGAAAAAACCCCACATTTAGTAAGTTGTAACAGGTTAACCCCATTTGGAGTTGTTTCTACACCTCGTGTTTCCACTGTCCTCAAGGCTATTCTTGCTTCACTTAAAACATTTGGCATGTCAGCAATTACAAGAGCCTGTGCTGGGGAAAAGCACGAGGACTAATAGTGATTAAGGGAATAACGAGCCAGCAGGCTCGCGGAAAGGCAGCTTTAGGATCTCTGACAATTGTGCCAAAGATGCTGAAATTAAACAAGCCCCACTCCGAATTCAGAAAGTGGAGAGCACTGGGTAAGAGTTATCCAAACTGCACGCAACGCTGATTTTAACCAGATGGTCAAAACGTGCCTTTAAGATCGAAGATAACACAAAGAGGATTCTCGATCTTAAAAGCTTACGTTTGTTTTGGAAGTTTTATGTTTTGCTTATTTAATCCTGAGGGACTGTGACAAATGTAAAGTTTTTTTACTAATTTATTTGAGTCATGTGTTCTATTTTATAGGACTCACTGGGATACAAGTCAGACAACCAGTGTTACCCAGCTGTACCACAATGAAGGAACAGAGGCAAATTCATCATAAATTGCAAAACACACACACGGGTTACATTTTTAGACACAGAGCTTACCTCCCCTTTCATGGCATGTTGCTTTGGACAAAGTTGTGTTCTTCTACTCGTGACACCACAATGACAGAACAGTTTCTTCCACAGTGAACTAGAACAATATCAGCCTCAAAGCACACACCAAGCTTACACCAACACAAATATATTCAAGACCCAAGTTTTCCCATTCTCACAAGAAGAGGTTTTGATTGCCATCTCTCATAGGTGACAGAATAAAAAAAAAAAATCCCAGAAGCAGTTACAAGGCACTTTTAATCATCTCTAGCTAATTTCATTTCAGCAGAGCTGAGACTAAAGATGTCAACTGATCTGCCTCCACCTTACCTCTCCCCCATCTCTCCTCCTTGGGGGGTTCCCAAGAACAAGCATTTCATCTCTACCTGCAATCTTCATTCCAACAAGTCAACATCGACTGCTTTATTTTAACTATCCCCTATTAATTACTGCCACACTTCCTAAGCAGATGTCAGCTGCTGGATAAAGAATTCTTCAGCTTAAACCTGGTCCAAGGAAAACTGGCATGGAAGTCGGAAGGGAGCACATTATTAACAGCTACTCAAGAAACTCTCCTCTTCCATGGAAGGCACCTAATATTCAAATCAGAACCTATTCTTAGCACAGAAATCCTGTGTTTAAGACAACTGGATGCCACTAACTGCTGAGCAGTTCTAGGAACAAAGAACTGGGTTGGGTTTTTTAAGTAATTGGGCAACTTAGTTTCAGTCTATTTACACATAAGGAGGTTTCGTTGATAGGCAATGAGTAAGGAAGCAACTATGGGCAGGTCAAGGCTTAGAGCACAGCTGATCTACATAATCAAATACACCTACTTGTAAGAAACTCAAGTGAGATCCACAAATCAAAGCATGCACTCAGCTAAATACAGATTAGTGCAAACCCAAGAGGAAGAATCTCTAATTTCCTTGTAAACTGCCCAGGCAAACAGGGGTGGAAAAGGAAGAAATCCCAGCTAAAAGGTGTGGTTAAGTGAAGTGTCAACATTGGTGTTATTTTACGCTGCGGACTCCATGTGAAAGTTCCGAGGGTATTAAGCCTCATGAAACCCTCCCTAAGGAGTTGTGAAAAGGGAAAAGCAAGGCAAAGGTTAGGTGCTTTGTTCCCAGTTACTCTGGTGGGGAAAAGTAACCTGAAGTCAGCCTTTTAGATTTTTTTTTATCTAAAAAACAGGGCTGAAAGTCCACCTATTCTCCAAGTTGAAACTACAGGACCAGCACTTTACCATCAACAATGAAATTAAATTTTGAGTTCTGGAATGATCTTGTAACACTTCACGAATGCTAAGTTTTTTAAAAAATAGTCAATTTGAACATTTATTTAAAGAAATACCCTTCTGATGGGTATCAAGCTTACAGGTACCCAACTGTACCATCAACAGGACTCTTAAGGATCTGTTACTTTGGAGTCAGTCTTTAGTCTAATGCGATTTTTTTTCTAACACGATGTTTAGTCAAGTAGCACACATCTCACATAACAAGCATGCACATCTTCAAGAAATTGAAAAGAATAAGTACAATCTCACAACAGTAAATCAGGTCTACTCTGGTTTAAAAGTCTTTCTACCAACTGAAAAGAATAAGTACAATCTCACTACAGTAAATCAGGTTTTTAAGG